GGCTCAAGAAAACGTCGGTGTATAATAGCAATGACCCCCGGAATCTCGCCGCATGCGATTTTCCACGAGGCCTAGGACAAGTCATGCGAATGTTTTCGAGTATGAGAGCACCGAATTTTCTTTCAAACTACTGAAAATTCGGTGCTCTAATACTTAGTTTTCCCGAAAGTGGTCTCTTAAAAGGAGTAAATTAAGAAAATAGCAATTTAAGGGGCTGGTTGGGGAGAGAGTGGTTGTTAACGGAGGTGAAATTGACACACAATAAGTGGGTCTTTCAGGGAGGTTTCATTGTATATTTTTTTAAACTACGATTAAAAAACCTTGTAGACTATCCTTATGTATTACATTGAATATATTAATTAAGTTGAGAATTAACTTTGAGCATCAGTCAAATTCAAAAGAACCGCGAACTGTGCCGCTGGACAGCTGTGCCCTCGCATGCTGTCCTACGTGCTCCAGTCAGACACCAGTTCAGCATGTGCGTGCAGGTGCGGTGTATACGAACGCCAAGAAACGTCATTAGCCGCAGAAAAAATGCAATGCGTTTGAGAATAAAACGATATATTTTTTTTACGATACAGTTTTTGAATCATTTATAGTTGTTATTGTAGATAGTGCTGTTACGCTTCTAAATCATTTTATGTTGTTTTTGGCGTGTGTTTGGCACGTGTGTTATGCATTTTTCGAAGGGAATTCCCCTTGTTACAATGATTCCAGACGTGGGTGTATACCAAAGCTATCTTTGTCTTATATTCAGATCACTTGAGAAAATGTCTTGTAAAACTAATAAAAAAGCATAAGTTGTAAAAATAAGCAATGAGAACATTGTTTACGTTGCTTCTTTGGAAATTTGTGAAATCCCGTGTGAAGACTGACGTGGAATAACAGGAGAACTATCGTTGGTGAGTATTTTTTAAAATAATGATTAAAGCAGTAGTGTTCATTTAAATTAACTTACAGTAAATTTTCTTCTATCAGATTTTTAATGATTTTTCTGAATTATTTTCATATGCCTGTTCTCAAAAAGCTTGTTTTTAAAGCTTTGATGTTTATGTTGTCTTCAATTTTTAAGAGCTAAACATGGCATTTATTTATTGAGAAAACATTTTTGTTGGGTTTTGTTTTTTTTTCAGATAAAATGGTTTCCCGAGAAGAAGCATTGATACAAATGGTTAGCAACGAAGATTATGAGGCTGTGTGTGTCTTGTTAAAAAACAAAGTAAATATAAATTATCAAAATAATGTGGGAGTCACTCCTCTTCTTTGTGCTACAGAGAAGGGTAACTACCGAATAACAAAATTGCTGTTGGACCATGGTGCAGATTGTAATGGAAGAGGAAGATTGACAGAATTCCATTATTCTATGGGTATTCCTCGCCATGAACGTGTTTTGGAATGGACACCATTAATAAATGCTGCTATGTACGGCCATCCTGACGTAGTTAAGCTTCTAATTGAAAATGGTGCTGATATCAATTTCAGAGATATCAATGGAAGGTCAGCACTAAATACAGCTTTGCAGCAAAGTATGCAAAAATGTGCAGAAATTCTCATAAGAAATGGAGCAGAAGTGACGACACTTGAGATTGCTACAGCTAAATTTACTTGCCCACACCTTGACATTAGAAAACTTTTGGTTGAGAGAGAAAGAGTCAAAAAATTGGAAACTAAAAATCGTAATTTATCTTTGCATCCAGCTGCCAGATGTGGAAATAGAGAGGAACTTCGGGAATTGATTAAGAAAGGAGCTGATATAAATCGGCAAGATAAAGAAGGAAACTCTGCCCTTCATGTGGCATTAGAGAATGGTAAATTGGATTGTGCAGAATTCTTAATAAAGAAAGGTGCTAATGTGAATATTAAGGGTAAAAATAAAAGTACTCCCTTACATGTAGCAGCATTTCTGGGTTTAACGAAAATTATTCCATGTTTGGTTGAACAAGGTGCTATTATTGATGCAAAAGGTGATGATGATATAACTCCTTTACACTTTGCTGTTTTTCATTCATTCCCATTGTGCGTTAAACAGTTGCTTGATTATGGTGCTTCTGTTAATGCAACGTTTGCTGGTGGTAAAACGGCGTTGCATGTTGCAGTATCAAAATCTTCAGATTGCATTGAATTGTTGCTGAAAGAAAATGCTGATATTTTTGCAAAAGATGATTTGGGGGTCTGTCCTTTAGAACTTTCCATTGAATTGGGGTATGATGCTTTTAGAAAACTTATTCCTGGTAATTACAAAATTTCGAGTGAAGATGGTACTACCCCGTTTCACATTGCTGCACATTGCTGTAGGATTGATTGTTTACAAAAGATGATTGAAGATGGTTGTGATGTGAATATTAAAACGAACTGTGGTGATACTCCTCTACATTTTGCTTGTAAAGGAGGAGTCGCACTGAGTGCTGTTTTTCATGAATTACCTGAAGAAGACTCTCAAAATGTGGAAATGTTAGTTCAAGCTGGGGCAGATATACACACACAAAATGTGTTGGGCATGTCTCCGATACATGTATGTGCCAAAAACGGCCTCGTTGCACCAATGAGAGCATTGTTGAAAGCAGGTACAGAAATAAATTCTCAGGGAGGAGATAAAAAGCAGACTCCATTGCATTATGCAGCTGAATCTGGCAGTTTAATATGTATTAAATATCTGGTTGAGAAGGGAGCTGACAAATTGGCTGTCAATTCTGATAGTTTCACTGCCCTAATGCTTGCAGCCAGAAATAATCATTTTTCATGTGTGAAATTCTTACTTCAAATTGATGTACCTCTGTGGATTCCTTGAGTAATAGGAAATTATTGTTGGAAGTTATGATGTGATTTGTGAATACATGCTACATATTGCTGTTATATTTAAAAAAGTTTGTTTTTGGTCAGTAGATTATAAAATAATAATTAATGTGACCTTTTAAATATTTGAGATTCAAAAAAATTAACCTGTGTTGTTTTTTTTGTAAAAGTCTATATTTTACAGAAATTGATTTCACAGTAAGAGACTGCTTTTTCTCCCTTGATATTTTTTGGTGCAACCAATTTTTTGGTTGTGCTTTCGAAAATTTTTGCTGGTGGGTATTTGCTTCATCAAGACTGATTACATTCTGTCTGAGCATCAGATATTTTATTAACTTGTTATTATATTCCTTAATATGGACCTCAAGCTTTAAGAACCTTTGACACATGAGCATCATGAACCTTTTTAATCATGGATGTGAAAACAGCTTGCCATTTCTAACTTATAATTTTGAGGGAGATGACATTGTGAGTAAAAGTTTAACTTTTTAATTATCCATATATTTTTATTAAAATCCTATAAATTTAACTGAACTCGTGACAAAAGACATAGTGCTTGCTGCTGCCATATTTTTGTTTTTTTTTGCCATTATGTATTTTATAAGTTCTTAGGAAGTAGGCAACACTCTAATAATTCAGTGATCAGATAGTTGTTCGGTGCCTGTTCTGGGGAAGAAGAATTTATTATGTAATAATGTGAATGTATTAAAAATATATTATTTGTTGTGATGTATCAGTATATGAAGAGCTCTAATATTTTCTAGTGTTAATAAAGAATATTTTCATATTCTTAATGTGTGATTGACAACTGATTGTCTTATAAAAATATTACTTATTAAATTGTGACCAATAAATTTTGGATACTTTTGATCTTGAAAGTGGCTTTATTGTCATTAAATGTGAATGATTTCCTTTTTTGGTATCTTGATTTTGAAACACTCCAATATATTGGTTATTGAAAATAGCTTAATGTGATTATTGCTGAAATAGATTCATTGTATGTTATGAAAATTAAATATATGTACAAAATGTATGCTACCTTAAGACTTCAACAGTCATGAAGTCAATTCTGTTCCTAATGTAGTCAATGTTTTAAATGTTATAGTAAATGTTTAATTATGTTAAAATAAATGTGCAAGATCATTAATTTTGCAATGTTAAATATATTTAATATGTAAACTTGAGTGTTATTAAATATTATATTTATCAAAGTTAATATATTAAATAAATAATTTCTTACTTAACATACAGTATGTGAAAATTATTTAAAGAATGTAAATTTGGAACACTGAAATAATCAGGTTTTTTAAATTTATATTCTTTTTTTTTATTAACATGTACTTGCTAATCTAATTAAATAAGTTGATTCATTTACAGTTGCTTACAGTATTCTTACTGTTCTTGTCTACTTTCATCCAACACAACTTATTTTTGTTGAACTATTATCTCGAAATAAGAAAGCAAAAGTTTGTAATGATTTCTAATGAAAATATTTAATGAATATAAAACTGATTGTACATTTTAATATGGATTGTTGCCCTAGAATGAGCATCTCTATTGAGGAAAAAATGTTCACTAAAGTTTCAATAAAATTTGAGAGGCTGTGTGACTCAAACATACAATGGATGAGGGTACCCAGAAGCACCAAACTCACAAAATGTAATACAAGGCCCCAAAATATTTATTTTTGTTGATTACAGTGTGAGGAGAAACATCAACAATCTGATAAAAAAAAAGGCCATAGGAAGAAGTGCTTTTGAGCTATGCATAATCAATGTCAAGAAGTAGAATATGAAGCAAGTTGAGAATTGGGGGATTGCATTTGCGTAATTTAGGTGCGTTTTTCAACAAATATTAACTATTTGAAAGTGAAAGTGCAACTTTTAAATTTGACTACAATAGCGGATCCAATTTTGCAGACCAGGAAAATTTGACTTCATCCTCTTCAACATGCAAACGGAATTTAGTTTTATAAATTGTTCTAAAATTTTCAAGACAAAAGGCAGTTTATGCTAGAGAGATAACTAAAAATCTGGTGAAAATTCAGTGCGACATAAACATGGAGGTCTAGCAATTCTTTTGTTTGTATTATAAGATGAACATCAGTGGATTTTATGCAAATGGTAATTATTAACAGTTTAATAGAAATGAAGAAGTATAAAAGTTAAATGTTGTGCAGTGGGCATGTCTATTAGATAAAATCAAAATAAACTCAGGTTGCTATTTATATGATGAAAAGGAAGGACCCTGTAGGAAAATACAAACCTAGAAAAAGGTGAATAGAGTCGGTTTGAATTCTCGAAATGACATGATGGTTCTCTATGTGAAGAAAATTGTAAACAAATAAAACAACATAAAAAAACAATGAATGCTACATACACATATTCACCACCTGTTCAACCTTTAGAACAAGAATATTGCCTTAATGTTCACAAGTTAACTTTTCTTTAAGTTAATAACACGGCAAAAATCAAAAAGTTTGTACAATTTTATTTACTTAACCTTTTCACATTTTTGGTAAAATATACAAAATTTGATAATTACATTGGTGATCATGCATTTAAATGGACAAAATTACAAAAACTTGGCACACTAAACATTGAATAAACACACTATTCTAAATGATTCCACCCTCCTTTGCGATACATTCTAAACGTGGGTGCTCTGCAATGTATGTGAATGTTTCCTTTTATATGAAAGAATATTGGTACCAGCAGAAACAATTCATGGCCTGAATACTACTTTTCTACCAACTGGAACAGGATTGCACAGCACTGGTGGGCCACATGCAGCCCATGGTGCCATGTATTGTGGCCCATGAAAGGTTATTAGTCAAAAGTGAAAGACCCTTCATTCCATGTTAGGTGAGAATGTGTGTGCACCTAGTGCATGCCCTGTCGCGATCAACACCCTTTTAATGAAAAATTAGGTTACGTTTAAATTTTAAGAATTTTTTCTAGTAAATTCAGAAATTCAAAATTATCCCAATCTGTCTTAACGCACTATGCATGGTATGTTCTGATATCACACATAGTTCCATCCTCCCGCTCCCTTTCCCATTTCAGAGCAGCCAGGAATACTGCCGAGATCAATATGGGGAAGTCAAGTGCGGATCGCCTGAGTAATGAAAATATGGTCCGCAACCATATTAATGGTTTTAGTTGTGGCCCTTGGGGCATTGCAAATGGGACACCTCTTCACTAGGACAGGAAATTCCAAAATCAGGACAGGAAGTTCCAAAATCAAAGGTGGTGTTGATGATGATGATGTTCGTTTATTTGTATGTGTGTATGCATAAAATTATTTCACAACCAGCACCTTAATAAACTAAATATAAATACTTGTAATACCTGCTGTTGACAAAATTACAGCAGGGATTTCTAATACTGATAGAAATTTGCACTTTTTTTCCATATATCTCATATGAGAAAATTTTAGAACTTCATGATTTAATTCTTAATGAAGCAATTTAACAGACTTTTTTATTATAATTAAAGATGAGAGTAATTTTTCTGGGATTTTATATCACCATTGCTATAAATTTCATTATATGTGAGAGAATGATTTCCCATTGAAATAATTGTTTTAAATAAATTATTTTTTCTGAGATTGATATATTTGCTAAAAAAAAAGGAATGAATTGGAGTGTTTGGAATGAATTGTTCTGATGTTTATTTGGTTTTTGTATGCAATAAGTTATGGTCATAATGTTTTTTTTTCTGCTTATTTTAATATAATAATGTACCTTGAAACTAAGAAATAAATCAGGCAAAAACAGTACCAGGAAGAGTAAGGTACTAATGCGTTACTGGTCAAGGCATTAGTTGCCATACAGTTTTCTTCATCACTGTTATCTGTACAATCAGCATGGCCATTACACTGTTGACTGGCAGGCAAACAGCTTCCATCAACACACTGGAAATCCTCATCAGCACAGCTTGCTGAAAACAAAACGATAAATATAAATTATATTACTTTTCATTATTTACACAATAAAAAAACACATTAATTGGTTTCATCGGTTTTCGTCTGTCTTAGTCTGGGCTAATCTTGGAAATAGATTAAATAATTTTGATGTGAATTTTACCTGAAACGTGAAGTGTTTTATACGCAATAATGTAGACCATTAACTTCCTTTCCCTAGTGATAAATCTTTATACTAGCATAGGAAAGTTGACTGTAAACATCTCAATCTGAATGTATTTGAAAGTAATGTTTCTTATCTGTGATGTGCCTAGAATTTTGTAGACATGACATGTACTTACTACCATTGACTTAAGGTGCTCTTCAGCATTCTACCTTTGTGAAGAAGACTTGAATAATAATTATTTTTAATTGTAAAAATAAACTCTTCATGAAAAAAAGATGAATAAATATTTTTTAAATTAAATTCACTTCTATAAAGAATCAGTCCTAGTATTGCCTTATGTCATATTCATTAGTGTTTGTTTAAAAAAAATCATTAATTGTTTATTATTAAAACATAAATCTTGGACATTAAAATATCTATACAAATTTGAATTAAAGATACGTATACATAGTTTGGTTAGGGCTGCAATTACCAACCATTTTTAGCTCCATGTCCTCTAAAAAGTTGTACATAAATTTCCTGATTCCCCTTTCTTTAACTGATTAGTGTTTTTTCGGCATGTCAACTGTTAGGGTCATTAGTTCCAAAGGTGTAGTGTGTGCTTTTATTGTGGAAAGTGGCAGTATTGTTCCACCACTGGATGTCAAGATTCAGTGCTGAATTTCATGTGGATTTGTGGGGTTTTCCTCAACCAGCTCCCACTTGTGGGGTACCACCTGGCTAGCATAAGCTCAAAGCTCCCGATTTGTGTTGTAGTGTAGTGCTTGTAAGTGTTTGTAAGCAAAGGGTGAGGAAAGGACAAGGAAGAAGAAGGAAAAATTGTCTACAATCCATGGCCCATTTGTTCAGCTACTGATTTGGTATTTGCGTGGTTTGATTGGTGAAACCACAAAAAATACCAATCAGAGCAGAATGGTATTAGAATTCTCGTTCAGGCAGCAACTAAACTTGACCTAGATATGTAGCTAGTTGAAAATCCTGTCACTGTTGGTACATGAACTCTATGATCTCTTGGTCAGGCACAGCATTGACATCAGTTGATGTCGTGAGCCACTCGAGCTGGTCCCGCTTTCTTATCATTAAAACCCTCAGTTGAGCTAGTTTACTATATTTTGTTTGTATTCAAAGTGTTGCTATCTATCAGTAGGGGCAGATCCAGAGACAAATTTTGGGAGTGAAAATTCAACGTATTTTGGTCAAACATGTCATTTTACAGATTTTGTAAAATGTCACAGGCTACACTTAGCTCATGCTGCGATACGATCTTATTCATTTTTTGATTATCTGAAAACATTTCTGCTTGAAAGTATCGTGATAAGTTAACATTAATAGTTATTGAATAATTTTAGGGGGGAATTTCCCTCCCCGTGGCTGCTGACAGCCATATAATGAAAGTAAGCACTTTTTACATTTATATGTATATTAAAATTTGTGCAAATTTCACCTTGTGTATTTATAGCAATTGTAATTCATAAATTTTTTTTTTTTTAAAGAAAATTCCTCTCTTTTCAAAAATATTGATTTTAGATAAATACAATAGAAAATTCCAATGAGATGGCAATGAACAACCGGATTATTTGAGTGAATCATCAAGGATACAAAGATTTTGTATAACATTTCTTTTGAAATCAAATATTTATTATAATTTTTTCTCTTAGAATTTTGCTTAAATTCATTGTTTCTGGTTTGATTCTGGTGAAAAAGTTTATTAGAATAGAATGTTAATTATGCTACTTAGAAATACATAGAAATATTTCCAGTGATTTCTAAATAGTTACTACAAATACACAAACAAACATTATAATATGTACATATTACTTAATATAATTTTACAAAATTAAGTCCTAAATCTGTCCTAATATAAAATAACTAATTTTAATGTTAACATATTCTTTAAAAACACTATTTATTTAATCTTTTAAAATTTTGCAGGTAATTTTGTATTGTTCTGTTTATAAATGAGAATTTACTTTCATCTGTTCTGTTTTTTGATCCTTCCGTGCAATATGTCAGCTTTGGTAATCTTGCCCATACTTCCCTCATGGATCGATCACTTGTTATTGATGCATATCATTGAATGCATAATGTCGTGATTTCTCTCTGTTCTTTCCAAAGGTTTCCATGTTATAAATTCAGAAATGGAATGTCCTTTCCTCTCCTAACGAATTTTGCGTCTTGAAAATTCTTTCCGGCGGGGAATCAAACCCTGGTCTCCCATGTGACAGGCAAGGATACTGACCACTATTCTACTGAGAACAACTGACTCCTCTGTATTATAATTGACTATCGAGGACAATTGACTCCAATTTATTGAAATTCTCCTTTAAACATAGCAGAATGTTAAAATTTGTTTATCACTTTTGGGTAATGGAGGCAATCTATAGTGTAACAGCCTGCAGAATGATAGTTTACACTCTTGAGTATGAAGTATGAGGTGTCAAAATTACAGAATTTATTGCAGACAAAGTGAGTTGTGATTGATTTCCTCTCTGTTTTTCCATTTTTCCTTGTATTCCTCATGATGTACTCCATTTTTGTTCTCATTACTGATTACATCATCTTTCATAATGCTCATCATAATCATCTTCACCGATACATATAAATGTTAATAGAATGTAGGCAAGTCCTGCCTATGGCCATGTTAGGATTCTAGCATCAGAACTGTGATCCTTGGGTAGTTTCTCCACAATTCATGACATATGATAAATAACTTTATTGTGATAACTTATTTTCTATTGAAGGCTTTTTCATATCACAATAGATGTCTAATTTAACTTATAATATTTGTTATGAGAACAGGTTTTGTAAAACAAAATAATATTTTCTTCGGAATTTATTTGGCTTGGTTCTCTTCAACTGTTGATTATACAATGACTATAGAATAGAGGACTATGTAGTGCTCTAGTGCCCAAATGTTACTTTTGCCCTAGAACAAAACTGGTATTGAAACTTTGAAGTAAACTTTCCATAAAAGCAAAATATTAGATACCACAAATATTAGATTACATGAATTTACATGTGTGAATTTTGCATTCTTACCTAAACTCAGAATTAGTATCTTACAATCATGCAATTATGCATTCAAAAATTCACCAAATCCAAGTACATATCTGTACTTGTAAGGCTTCTAAACTTACATTTTTGAACAAATATCATTGTTCTGTTTTTAACCAGAAAGAAATCTGCTCTGGAAAATGATGTAACTCAGTAACATACATGCGTGTTTCCTTTGAATGCATTTATTAGAATGTGTGAGAACAATACGAAATTTTCTAACATGTTTATTAGTTACTTTTTCTTGTTCCTGTGAATTTCCCTTGCAAGTTGTCCTGGGAAGTAAACAGTAGAGCATAATATGTAGGAAAACCCCTTCTTGGGTATAGAATCAGTTTAATGTGAAGTTCATCAGAATATCCACAGGACAAAGGGCAATACCATGCTTGTAGCATTTTAAGCACCTACCCTTTTGGTGAGAAGTGTTGAATCAATATAGCTTCTGCTATTTTAAACTGGTATTTCTGGCTTTACTGAGATAAGAATCCAACTGTTGATTTTCTGATAGGAAACAATTCTTTCTTTACCCTAGATGTGAATCTACTGCAGTTTAAATGTAATAATATTTTGTTCACGGGCTACTTAAGAATGACGGACTTAAGGATGTTTAAAATTTATCCTAATTTTTAAAGTTTCACTCAGACAATTCCTTCACATATAAATATTCACTTCCAGTAGGTACTGTCACACAGAGCACAAAATATGTATATGACAAAACTACAAAATTCTGGAAGTTTTTTTTAATTGAAAATTGTCTGAATTTCACTTCGTGGCAGCATTACTATGTGTTACATACAGATGGGGAGGTATTTAATTTAGGGTTATGTATCATCGATTTTTTTTCTTTTTCTCCCCCCCCCCCAACATTTACTGAAATAATTTCTTTTTTAATCTGGTACTAAAATTTTAAGTAATTTATTTTAAAAACATAAATAAATTAAAGTTATTAGATGTAAATTGTTACAAGAAATGGAAACATTTGTTCATCAACTTTTTATTGAATCTGTAAGATTACCTAGGAAATATTCAAAACTGATACGTAGTGTTAGCATAACTTGTATATTCTAGAATCCATTTCAATTGGGGCAGTAGACTCCCACTTATGTGTCATCCTTGTTGGCATGCACATAGCTTGTGATAAATTTTTCTCACCTATCCGTCCTTCCTTCACTCACAACTTGTCCCCAACCTTATTGTTGGGTGCAGCTTTGGCAACTAATTTAATTATCATAAATTTTAAGATACAACATAACTAAAATGAATACAAGTTGTTTGTACTGTGGTGTAATTTATTTTCACTTCTTGCAGTTACAAGGGGGGGGGGTGTTGTCACAAGCATTTCGTAATGATTTGGGGGGTTAAAGTGTGCATTGCAGGGGGAGAGGGGGCATTGAAAATATTCCAAATTTGTGTTATAAAATTTATGGATGGGCCCCAAAGCCGTCTCTTTGACTGTGTATAAGGTGCCCTTTTCTATACTTTAGTTCAGTACTTCTTTTGGTGTTATTTTAGTGACCTGATTGATATTGTAAAACTAGTATAATTTTCTTAGTTTTAGCATTTATCATTGAATTATCTTTTATTTGTATTTTGATGTAAATCAAACAAGTGCCTTAATACAATAATTAAATAAATAAATTTTGATTTCTTCTTTTTGCGTTGGTCACTTACAACTGTGTAATGATGCATCAAACACAAAAGTTCAACTGGCATACATGGAATTTGAGCACATATTTAGGCAACACTTGAAGTAGCAAAAATGTAAAGAGAATTGATCTTTGTATATTCTGTTTAGAGATCAGAAGGAAAGAGAATATGAAAGATAGTAACAACTTCCTTTTTTCATAAAATCACAGTAAAAATAATTTCATTTATCTTCTCAGAGAATATACATGAGCGAAGAATGTACATAGATAGTGAAACCCAATGCTATAGAAATGTCAAAAATGTAGTATTAATGAAAATCAGCAATAAAAAAATAACGTACATGAATGAATAAAATTCCATACTAGAACCATGTACCCAAGATTTAAGTTTGCTAATTTAAAGAATGAACCTTGTCGTATTGTAAATTAATCAATTATTTCTGTTTAATTATCCAGTGGGATTCAATGAACTCATGCTATACATTCGAGGGTTAAAATCCGTTTTCATGTAATACAAATGTTCCTTGGTAATGAGAAATTGTGGTTAGGTTCTCTTAGGGATGAACCACAAGTATGAAGAAATTCAATTCCTTTTTTGAAGCAGGTACTTGGTAGTCCATTTTGTAAATAGTTTAATCTTTTTATATTTTGCCATCAGATCAAGTGATATTCATGATGAGGTACCTTCTTTTTTTTTTTTTTGGAATCATGTAATAAAACATCTCAATATTACCAATGTCTTTTGTATCTCATATGAAAATTGCAAAAATTTGTGTGTTAAGAAATTGTCATTGAAGTTTTCCTTAATGCAATGAGGCACATATGATAGTATATTCCATGGTAATATGTGAACTTCTTGTTGAGAAGTTGTAATTATAATTCATGTGCTTTTTATCATCCAGTTTCATGAAAATATGATTTCTCTGAATTTGCTGTAGAAGAGACAGAGGCATAATAGCAGAGAAATAAAAATAAGTATAAAACCATAAAATAAATCCATAGAATTGAAACTTATGCTCGTTTTTCTCTTCTTTTTGTGGTTACAGAGAAGTTAGCATAATGATACATTTTCAAGATTTGCTTTTATTTACATGATTGCTGAACTTACATTTCTAACTTGTTTTACTTTGTTAATCTATTTGATATTATTTATATGAAGTCTAAAAGGACTCTTGGGAGCTTTTTCATGAATAAAAAAACAAAGAAATCTTTTATTAAGTGCATTTTCCTTGTATTACAAATCATGGCTGTAGCTTGTCTGGTAAAATAGTGATGTTTTAGAATTATTGTTTAGAGTTTGAATTGAAGAAATATTCTGTGCAGTATTGGCATACATTGAGAATGACTTTCTTACTTCGTGTTGTTAAAATGTGTGGAGAGAGATTAATATTCTTATCAAGAAATAATATTGTTTATAAAATTGACTAGGTTTTATAATATTTTTTCTACTTAAGCTTTCAGTTGCATTTGCAAAAATGTTATGTACATTGCAATTAGAAAAAGCTATGCTTTCTTGCGAGATACAAGCCAAGAATATATTTCATAGAGACCTGTTAATGAATCCCTGGCTATACAGTTTCCTTCATCACTTCCATCTTTGCAGTCAGTATGACCATCACAACGTTTCTGTTCAGGAATGCAGGTTTTGTCAGAGCACTGAAATTGGTGTTTTGTACATTTTTCTGAAAATCACAAGTCGTATTAAATTATTACTGATGTATTATTTGGAGTCTAAACTTAAAACATTGGGAAAATATTGATTAGACATTTTGAAAACAGTTGAAGAAAGAACATTTTCACTGTAAAAATAATAAACTCAATTGATTTTTAATAAAAAGATATTAATAAATAAATTCAGATAAAGGAAATTGATCTGCATAATTGTTTAAGTTGTGTTAGTTCTGTTTCTTGCTGTATTATGACTTCATCAATTGCATTTAAGTATTTGTGTTTGTTACTTCTGGAAATTTTGAAAAAATCACAATGTCTATAAAGGAAGAGAAAGCTACTTGTGAGGTGGAAACTACAAAATGATTCACAAAACCTACCATTGGATGCATGATTTTTCTTGCTCCAATTTTATTCGATAACAAAAAAAACAACCTTGTGAAGAAATAATGTATAAAATGCTTTACCTGATGGACAGTTGAGTTCATCACTTTTATCTTGACATTCATGGTATCCATTACAGTGCATGCGAATAGGAATGCAGGTTCTGTCTGCACATTGGAATTCATTAGGTGGACATGCCACTGAAAACAAAACAAATAAAATTCCACGATCTTCTAAGGAGGTTTTAGGTTCTAAGTGAAGTAATCTGTTGTAATTGGTTATTTATTTAACAGAATAGTGTATTAATTAATTAAATTTTATTTATTGAGGCTTACAGACCATCTACAGCTAGGGCTTTGAGGCCCATAAGAGATGATCTTAAGAAAAGATAATAAGATAATGATTAGCTAAATGATGATGGACAAGTTGTGGAATGAGTAGGGAAGGCAGGAAAAGCCAGAGAAAATATGGAAAAGACTTTCTGGATCTACTACAAATTCCACATGGATTGGCTTGTGATTGAATTTGGGTTTCAACTGTTTGAGAACTATGTGCTAGCACTTATGCCATGAGCCCCCCCCCTCATCTATTTGACATATCGACTTGCTCCAGTGGCAACACATAGATTGCGTGCAATCCTTGATGATCCCCCTAAGAGAATATTCAAAGCAGTTGGATGCCAGCCTTGGTTGTTGTTGTTGTTGTTGTTGAATCAGCCTTTTGAAGCAGTCAAACTTGTTTTGTTGGAATAAATTTTACATGAGATTCTCTGGGAATCAAACGCGCACCTTCTTGTGCCAGAAAAAGGCCAGTGATTTTCGCTCTGAGCCATGAATTGGCCAGCAATAATTAATTATCCCAGTGGTTAAAAGGTTTTTGGTGAACATACACACATATACTGTGTACATTATCTTTGGAGTAGATGAAACTCTAAACATATACTTTTGGAGGATTGTAAGCAGAGTTTGTGGTTATAAATTTCTAGAGTGAAAAAAAATTTAGACATTAATATTTTCTTTTAATAACTTAATTTTCAGGAAGCATTTCATAAGTGCTAATGCTGTTTTTTGTTTGTTGGAGATCTTTACTGTAATTAATGGTATTGTGATGACTTCTGTTTTCTTGATAAATGATACCCCACCACACTGAGGTGAAGAAGGAAAGAAATTATGTCTTTTCACAAGATTTCTGGTTAATCTAGTTTTAGATAGAATGAATTTTGTTTTTATTCTCAAATAAATAAACTTATGAGTTGAGAGCCTTACAATATTTTAGAGAATTGTCATTTGGTGAGTTCATATTTCGTAGCAGGTAACCTCCTTAATGATGTTAATGTTATTGGGTTGTGTCAAAAATTTGTACTGATAGTTCTAAGCGTCTTTCAGAATTGACTAAGGATATCATTCCTGAGAAACCAAATTTTACATCGTAAAATTCACTAGCCAAGACAGATGGATCCAGGGTGCACATGGAAATTTCATTGCCTTGGCTGAATATTTTTATGGCACATGATTTATACTACCTACTAAGGCAAATAAGCTTAATACACTATCAATTATACTTGTATTTTTAAAATTAATTTTTACACAGAATATCTTTCAGAGCTGCATGAAATATTCTATAAGTTTGTAATAGATTAATGTCTTTAAAAGTAACTGGGTAATCAGTGCCCTAGGGAGAAAGCAACAGAAACTACTCCAGGAACAAATTGTCTAGGAATCTCAGCAATTGGTATGGGGTTTGACTGATGCAAACTTTGCAAACCTCCTCCCTTAATGCAAGAGACCTCAGTGAAAATGTAACATGAAATTAAAAATATTTTAATACAATTACTATCTTACCGCAATGTAGTTCATCATCTGAACAGTCTTTGTGGTTGTCACAGCGCTGAGATTCAGGAATACATTTACCATCACTACAAAGAAAATTTCCTGGAAGGCAGGTTCCCTCTAGAATACAGAAGCAAAACAGAGATAAATCTAAATTTAGTGTTGATCAATAATGTTTTTCTGGTTGAAGTAGCTTTAAGAGAGAGTTCTTGAGTGCTCAAAATCAAAATCAACACAAGATGTATTTGAGTGCTCTACTGGATCTTAAAATATAACTTTACAATTTTTTAAATTTATTTATTTAGTAATAGGCAATCGCCCAATTATTAGAAAGGATATACAACTTTAATTTTAAAACACTTTTGAACATTCAAGCCTGAATGAAAATTTTGATTGGGGAGAATAGTCCTTAAGTCAGAGTGTGCTTTTCTAATGAAATTGAAAGAATAAAAGTTGATTGTTACAGTGTAAGTCTCGCTTTGGGGTATGATAACAATATTACAGTACCTATGAATTGATATTGAAAAGAACTATATCGACATGGGATGAAGAATTTAAAAGCTAGAGTAATCGTGAGGTCTCAGTGCTAGTGATAGAGTGGGCAACTATAGGGAGAAAGTGGGGAAGTGGAAGTGAAAGGACAGATGCTGAAGGGACAGTTGAAGTTGAGCAATGGAAGAGAGAGGCTGCAGGTAGATTACTCTAAATTCATTTGTCCGCTGTCATGCTCTATTGTGATTAAATTAGTGTTCGTTTGAAAAGTTGTTAATTGATTTCAATTCTACATCGGTAAGCATGAATTATAATTAGTTTCCAAATTGGAATTATGATTTTTTTATTTTAAAAAGGAATTCTACAACAGAATAATTTCAGTTTTAAAGGATTTCCTTACAATATTTTAAGAAAAAAAAGAATTGAAGATAGTAATTTCAAAATTTTTAACATTAATTATATTACTTGTTTTAAGATGTACTATAAATGAATTGAAAATATTGACAGAACAAAATACAATTTCATGAAATTCTGTTTCTTTAACAGCATTTAAGGATCTGTAAAAGTTGCATGGTATATGCTACTTCTTATAATGCTTTACTTTGAATAAAGATGAGTTACGTTTTTAGGTGAAGTACGAAACACATAAAGTACATTATATTTGGTTTCATCCATTAAATATAACACTTACTACAGCCTATTTCATCTGTCATGTCAGCACAATCAAAAAGATGATCACAACGAACTGAAGAACTCAAGCAGCGTCCATTATCACACTGAAAATCTGTAGGTGAGCAGGTAGCTGTTGGATCTATAAACACACACATGTATGCACATTTAGTATAAAATTAGAATAAAACGTAAATATTGACTTCAGTGTAAGAAAATCATCTCTGAAGCCAATTATTTCACTGAATGAATGAAAATTTAGATAATTTTTAGCTTTCACACTTTGACTGTTGCAATGTCTTTATATATATATATATATATATGTATATATATATATATGTATATATATATATGTATATATATATATGTATATATATATGTATTTATTATTATTATTATTATTATTATTATTATTATTAGAGCTTTTTTATTTTTCAATTGTTTACTGACTGAAAGAAAAAACATTGTCACACTCACCACAGTTCTCTTCATCTGACATATCAAAGGGGCAACTTTTTGTTTTATCACAGCGTTTTGATATGTGAATGCAGGTCCCATCAGTACATTCCCATTCATTTCTTTTACATCCTAGAAAAATAATTGATAAATTAAATAAAGAATTAGGCAATTTTCTTGATGGTCATATTTCATTACTTTTATGAACATTCCAATAAAACCTATTAAATTGTAGTGTTGCTGGTGCACATTATCCTAAAAAATATCCTTATTTTGAGATGCACTTGATTTCAATTATAATTGCTTTATCTCACATAGGTGGATAAACATATTTACTACATAGGTCACAGAATTATTCATGTATAATTCACAGCATCACAGCATTCACTACTTATAAGATCAATGGGGACTACATTGTTATGTTTCATGTTTGCTGTGTTGCCCACCCCACAATGTCTCACACTTTTAGTCCTTACAACCTCTTTGGCCCACTGTAAGGGCACTAGTTAGAACTAGCAGAGCTCCAACAGCACACACACATCCTCACATTATTTGTAACTTTTGCAATTTTTGAAAATTCAGAGTTCAATGGAATTGAGACCTGTGCAATTTTTTATCACCTTTTCCTCTATCAGAAGAGAAACTAATGGTGCTACAGAATGGCACAGGCTTTCCCGCATAAGTTTTCTATTTCCTTAGATCTCAGCTACCTATACAAACTTGCCACTTACTCTTGCCTGCTGCCATTTATCACCGCCCAAAGGGCATTTGAATTTTCTTAATTTTTCGGTTTTTTAATAAAACAGAAATATTACTTTATGAATATTAAAGAACAGTAAAACTTGTCCTAAATTGCAATTTTCTTTCACAAATTTGCAGCTGTTTTTAAGAAAATGGTGTATAAGCACTACTGTAAATTCCAAATTTGAAGCTTTTTTTTCACAGACAGTTTCTGAAAAACTTTGTTTGGAGTACTTTAACTCACAAATAAAATAGTGTTTACAAATTGCTGCAAATGTGCATATTAATAACGTGAGAGATCTTTAAAAAAATTACATTTGTGTAATTTTTGAAAAAACAAGATGTATCCCGAAATTAACTTTTATTTCAAGAAGAAACCTCTATCTTTAATTGTGTAGTTGAAGAAAGAACCCGAAAAAAATACACACTTTTAAAATTTTCGAAAATTCAGAGTTAACACTGAAAATTGGGCCATTTGCCACCCTTATAAGTATTTATTTTACTATATTTTTAAAATACATTTAAAGAACAAAATTGGAGAAGTTTTTGAGAAAATCATGTTACGTTTCTAGGCAGCTTCGTGTAAATTTTTCCCAAAAACTTATGGTTTTCAAAATCGCAGAGCTTCGACTCAGGCCAACGGGTTTCTTCAATTTGGAAAAAAATCCCATGCATTGTTTAGGCGCTAGTCTTGTTCACAGACAGCCGGACGTTTTGAAATGAATAAAAACACTTTTTTGGGATCCAGGGGAACCCAAAATGTGCGTTTCTATTGAAATCTCGAAAACTATTTTCCGCAGCGTTACATAACTTTCCATGTACTACGTAAAATACTCAATACATACGTATGTATACGAAAAAGTAACTAGTGGTACTACGGAATGACACAAACTTTTCCGTAATAGTTTTATATTTCCTTTGGTCTTGGCTTGCTATTCAAACTTCCATCATGCTCTTGTCCGCTGCCATCCATCGCACCAAAAAATACATATTTTTGAAATTTTCTTACTTTTTCGGTTTACTAACAATTGAAATATTATTTTAAGAATAGTAAAGAACAGTGAAACCGCGTTCTAAATGGCAATGTCCTTTGTAAAATGTTAAGCCGTTTTTGAGAAAATGGTGCTTAAGAGCTACAGTAAATTCGACATTTGAAGTACAGAAGAGACAGAAAACGGTTGAGTTTTCGAGAAACGTGTGGCATTATTTAAAGCACGTACATAAATACAATAATGTGAGCAAATTGCTGTTAATGTAAATATTAACGACGAGAGATACAACTCACAAAAATTCAATTTTTGTAATTAATGATAAAACAAAAGAATAGAGATAAAACGGTAATCGTGAAAATCGGATATACGATTTATAATTTATAACGGCATTTTACACTATTCGTATTTAAAGAAAAAATTTCGAGCCATTTTTTGAGAAAATTTCGAACATGTCCAGGGGCTTCATGTAAAGTACCCCCCAAAACTAATAAATCGTTTCAAAATCGCATAGCTTCGACTCAGGCCACAAGGATAGGGGTTTCTTCAATTTGGAAAAAAATCATTCGCATAGTTTAGGCGCTAGTGTTGTTCACATACACCAGACAGACGGACGTTTAGAAAAAAAAGGCAACACTTTTTCGGTATCAGGGGACCCCAAAAAGCGTATTTCCGTTAAAATCTCGAAATCGATTTTCCACAGCATTACACAACTTTCCCTCTACTACGTATATTACGTACGAAAATTATAGCGGAGCTAAAACAGCACGTACTTTCTTGCCCGTATTTCCTTGCAAAAATACGCGAAAAGTACTTAAATTTTCGAAAAATTGCACATGATCTTATTTCAAAATCTATTTAAGGAACAGATTCCATTAACGGAAAAATCTCTATCTTTAATATTTTAGTTAAGGAAGATGCCGAAAAACTTTTCATTTTTGCAATTTTCGAAAATCAAGATTTTCAATCATCATGAGACTTGCACCATTCTGTGAATCGGCTTTCTAACACTACGCAACAACAAAATTTAATCAAAAACGCTGGAGCCATAAAAAACATTGAAAAAGTCCCAGAGGCTACATATAAAGTACCCTCATAACTTAAAATATCAGTTTCAAATTCACGAGGCCACGTGATCAGCCAGATCAATAGGGAAATATTAATTTTGGAGAAAATCGGCTGATCGTTTTAGGCGTTAGCGTTGTCCACAGACGGACGTTCATTTGATTTTTCGGTTTCAAGGACCCACAAAATACGGATTGTGGTTCCACTACGTATTAGAGGAATTTCTTCTTAATTTAGCAAGTGGATTTATTCACTTTTTACTTATCAGGGCTTTGTAATAAGAGTTTTTCTGCCGAAAATTCAGGGTGAAACACACAACTTTAGCACCTCCTATAACATTTGAACGGTTGAAATTATTGCAATGCAGTTTTCATGGATGTGCATGAGGGAATGGGGCCAATTGATGCGTGTATTTATTTCTATTTTATCACGTGTATTTTATCACGTGTTGTTTTTTTTCTTTTTTCTTTTTTTTCCCTAAATAGAACTATACATACTCTTTCGGTTTATCACGACAAGCGTAAGAATACGAATCCAATGATATGAATTTTGTTCATTATGTTAGATAAGCATTTTTTGAGTAATTTTGATTTTTTTTGCGACAAATGTTTAAGGCATATTTTGAATGTAACAGTCCGCTACACAAGGACGTGCAGCGCTCCCCCTGCTAGCGTGTGCACGGGGAAGGGAAGGGATATTAATATTTGAAGAAAGGAAACGTATTCCAAATATTCACAAAAGAAAACAAAATGGTGCTATTTTAGAGAAAAAAAGTCTATATTTCGTGCAAAATCACCCCAAAACTACACATTTTCGAAAAATTGTACATTACCTTACTTCAAGATCTGTTTTAAAGGAAGTTCAATATATTTATATATATATATATATATAATATAGATATATACATATATGATTGTTTTTTTCCTTTTATTCTATACCCCTGTTTTCCCTCGGTCATGAACGGTAAATACACGTATGCACGTATTTTGCACGACGATGCACGTAATATTTGTTTGCTTGAGCTTTCAAAACATTTTTCTTACGAATTTTTACTTTCAGTTTACTTTCGAGTTTCTTAGCCTGACAAGCTATCACCTTGCCGTGCTGCATTTTCAGTTATAAATATTTTGAGACCTGTTAAAGCATGGAAATTGTTTAAGTAGTGAATTTTGTTTCCTGTTGTGTTTGTTGCCATCAACATTGTAACAATTTAACAAAGTAACAAGTGAATGTAACGAAGGAAAGTAGAACCTAACAAGTGAATGTAACAAAGAAAAGTAGAACGTAAAATTCTTGTTTTTATTTTTTATTTTTTTTTCAAAAAGTACATTTTCTGTTACATGAGTAACTTTTTCTCAGAAAACAATCGACCAATTTAATTGATTATTTCACGGCTGTTTAAACATTCACTATTGCACATTTTGACAAACTGTTTTTTGATATTCAGTTTTTAAACATTTCTATAGGTATTTTAGTTATCAATTTTGAAAACTTCATCAATATGATCATTCATTTTTTCTCTTGCACCTATCAAAAAATTGCTAAACAGAAAATGTTAAAAAGCGTGTAAGGGTGCATTTCAACCACAGAAGAAAATCAAAATCAGTCAATTAGGAAGAGACCAAAAGAAACTTATGTTAGTATGACTTAGAGTGGAGAACTCCCTGTTCCCCATAAGGAACGTACTTCATTAAGGGAAAAAATATCTATATTCGACATTATAGTTGTAGGAAGATGCCCCAAAAAATCGCACTCACCCAATTTTTCGAAAATTGTAGATTTCAACAAACCTGCACCATTATCTTAAGCGTACTTTACGTTATCCGAGGACAACATTTAACCAATGGTGCCAGTTTTGAGAACATTTTGAAAATGTTTACATCGATAGGGGAATAGGGTCAGTGTAGCAATTATCCCCCCTGTGCCTAATATCGCCTACTCGTGATTCCAAGGTGCCATGCTCTCCATTCATAGATTCGTACGTGAAATATTAGTATTATAATTCCGGCGTAGAGCTGCGCTAAAACTACATACGCCAGAACTATAAGTTTCATATAAGAAACCATATGTGGAGCGCATGGCGCTTTGACCATACTAATTTTGAAAAAAATCGGCTGGCTGGTTTAGATGCAGGCGTTGACCACAGATAAACAGAAGTTTTTCCGGCAATCGATCTTTTGGTAACAAGGACCCACAAAATGTGTATTCTGGTTACATCGCGTTTGAGAGAAACTAATTTACTATTTTTAGCATCCACTTTTTCGTAACCAGGGCCAGATAATACAATCTGCTGGAAATTCGCAGTTTTTCGGCACACGATTACATAACTTTCTCTTCTTACGAAGTAAATGTGAGAAAGTGGAAAGTCAATATGGTTGTGCGCAGTTTTTTAAGCGTCATTTGGAAAATCCTAGAAAAAAAGTTAAAAAAAATAGCAAATGCTGCTTCAGATTCTTTGTTACCATACAAATCAAAGAAGAAATATAAGCGTGAGTACTCAATTTTTAAGGATTTGTGTGAAAACAAAAACGTTCATTGCATATCAGAAAAAAGGTTTAATGGCTTACTTTTCCGGCAAGTCTCCCACTTTTCTATGCTGAAGAGTACTTTATTAGTTAAGGATAATATTGATATAAGTAAGTTTACCCAGTTCTTAGCATTTTTAAAAAGGAAAAGTGAAGAATATAAAACAAAAAACTCAAAGATATTTTGTTATGCATATATAGTGCTCGTCTCAGAATAACCCTACTCGTATGCCATTACCGCACTAGTGTCGTAATGAAGTTCATTACCACACTAGAGCGGTAAAGTACTTCATTATGAAACTGATTATAATAGCATAATGTTTCACATTACCTAACCAAAGAGGATAAAAAATATTTCTATCTTAGAATTGCCATTTGGTAGGAGATAATAGACAAATAATAATAATAATAATAATAACAACAACAACAGTCTCGTTTCCTTTTTCGCAAAGACGCTTTCTTTCTGACGGATTTTCCGAGGAAAGACGCACAATGTCGTTCTGAATCATTTCAATCTGATAACACATGAAACCGCGGTGGCATTACCACTGTGTGATCTGACCACATGTGTTGCAGCATTAAATTAAATTCCATTACAAAGACATTGTCTGAGATTGTGGTAGAATCATATCGAGATTCCGTAGCTCTTCCATTGATTCTTACCAATTATTTCATTTGATAGAAGATAATCTTACATTTCACACGTATTATACATTATAAACCCACATTCAAAGGGTTAGGCGTAATATTTATTTCTGGAAGGTTTAATCGCATCTTAGAAACAGAGAAAATATACTTCAGTAACAAAGACTGGGTAACGTTTTGCAAGTCATGAGACAAAATACCTGCCTGAACGCGGAGGGCGAGCCTCTAGCTTCGTGAGCGGTGTAAGTGTTGGTACGTCATTCAAATTATTGCGGCCATTGTTCGAGGTATGAATATGGGAGATACGTCACCGTAAAGAATTATCCTTTCTCGGTATTAGTGATCGTGAGAAAAGAAACGACACTTGTAATGTAGTACTTTCTTTTTTTTTCTCCCAGATTTTTGTTTAGATTTGTTACGTTTTGTCGGAAAGTGAAATAAAAGTAAATAGGGAGCGGTGTTTTTTTTGCATTGTTTTGAATGTTGTAATATGAATCTGCAAACAGAATCATAGTTGTATTTTCGTTAAAATATCGAATGTTTGAAATGTAAGGAAAATGAAAGATGCATGAAAGTTGCTGCAATAGGAATTGCGAAGACTTTTTTTTCCATTCCAGAAAGACGTACAGGTGCCTCAGAAAATATGTCACTAATTTTTAAGGTATGTGGTGGCTTTTACCAATGAACATTTTGTGGAAATTCGTATATTGTCCGATTTAAAGACGGTGACTTTTAACAAAATAATACCTGTGATGCGGTTATCCAATTGGGAACTTTGACACCTAAAATTAAAGTCGTCGCGAATTGAGTAATCACGTCCAACTGATGATGTCACAAGTCACTATATTTAAACCGAACGATAACGAAGTTACAATGTGACATTTGCCCCTGGTGGATAGACTACCGATCACACATTGGCGTACGGTAGAGCCATGAAATAACTTTGATTTAATTAGAACGCAACCTGCGAAGTACCCGTTCATGAGATGTTGCTTGCCAATCACGGACAAATGCCACATGCGTAACACTAAAGTAAATTTCCCACCACACAGTAATTGGCAAAAGAAATGTAATAAATAAGATTTGACTCCCCTAGATACTCTAGACGTTTATAAAATGCATTTTAAGACATTCTGCAAATGTGGTTAATATGCATTTAGTCACAAGTAATTTTGTATGCAAGAAGCAAATGCAAGAATTTTTAAAGAACACGTAATTACGTGACTGATTCGATTAAATTGATCAGATGCCGCTGTCGAGTTGTGTAAGGCCCAATTTCAGTGCTGCGCTTTATTTTCATGAATCCGTGCGTCTGCATGAAAGTCTTTTCCCTATAACCCACTTGCCGTCCGAGACATGATTGCGCACATTGTTTCGCCTTAGCAGAAAAGCCCATGATTATCAAGCTACATTTTATTAATTATAATTTTCTTTACATTTTTTGCTTTTTTATTATTTTTTTCACTTTCTTATAAAAAATTACGTAATTATACCTTTTATGACAAAAAATACATTTTTATCATCCAATCTTCTCGCCATTTGTATTTATGAAAATGTTCTGAACGCGAATGTTCGTTAATCCAGTGTACGCAGGTGCTCAAGCATAAAATTACTTATTATCTCATTTTAAAGGCACAAAATTGCGCACAACTTTAAAGGCATCTTTCTCGTTTTGTACAATTGTGAAAACACAGGTTTGGGGAAAAATTCAATAATAATCCATTGCCAAGAACACTGGTTTCTAAGTCAATCGACTTTTCCACGAAAAAATACTTTCCTTATTGGTGGGAAAATTTGTATTTTGTCTATGGAACCAGGGATTTGTTTGTCGTGCCAGTCTTCGCACCGAAATGATTTTCGTCTGAACTCAAAAGTCAGAAGAACTTTGTGCATTGTGCATTCTGTACTTACGTTTGTGCAAATGCTTTCATTTTATTATTTTTTGTTAATGTTTAAAAAATACATGTAAACGACATATCATAAAATTGATGCACGAGTGGAAACATTTTCATGGAAAGTCTATGATATTATGTTGATCCCGGTAAATGTCGTTTTGTAACGACGTGAACGGTAAACAACTTATTACACAATGGCTTCTTTCATGACGGGACCTGTGTGCACATTTTTGAGCTGTACTGGCAGAACAGGCAGGCCAACTGACATCCGCGTAAATTCCCTCCGAAATAACGACGGTGAAATATGGAAGGAGTTTGTATGAAACAGCGATGAGATGCAAGAGCGCGCCCATACACCAGATAACCAAAACATTCACAGAAAGCAAAACGTTCATAATTAAAACTTGACTGAATTATAGGTCCCCAGCGGTTTGAGAATCATAACTCCAAATTTTAAAACTCAAACATAATTTAATATTTCTGACAATTTAACTAAATTTATGTTTGCACTCCTTAAATATGTCTTTTGAAAACGATTTTGTAAGCTGTACTTGCAATAATTTCCCGAAGAAAGCTAACAATCAATGCGGTCGAGAGCTTTGTTTCTCATTGGTCAGAAAGTAAACATTGAATTACTCTTTTTGTAGTAACCATTATACTTGTTTTGAGCTACATTTTATATACAAATAAGAAACTATTGTTAAACATTTCATTACAGTTGTTTTCATTGTCCTCTTTTTGTTTGCCGTTTTCAAGTAAATCAACATATTGTTGAAATATAGTGAGAAATGAAAGAAACTTGAATATATTTTATTTATTAGTTATTTGAAACTGTTTGCGGATACTTATTCACCCACGTGACCACTGGTTAACAAATTTTACACGGAGAAACGGAAATTTATCAGGATCAAATTTCTTTATTATTCATTTATGGTTTAATTATTAACTTGCGTACCCGTGTGAAAACTCACGCACGTTAATCCCCACCTTTTCCCTATATATTTCGCTATCCTTTCCATTAAGAAGAAAAGTTGTTTATAAAATT